TCCCACTTTAGTCCTCCCTCTGTCTCTATTTCTCGGAATTGAGTCTGCTAACAAATTAGTAAGGTGAGTGTCATTGCCCGAAGTAACCAAAGTATCATCCATCAGATTCATGAGCTCAAGTAGGTCTCCATTCTTCTTCTTCCTCCTTGATGTGTAGACCTGTCATTCCTCATTCGATGATTGACTCATTTGATCAATAGATTGTTCCAAAGTTGGTTGGACAGGTGTAGTCTGTTGCACAACATGATCCCCATGAACCTGAGTGGCAGATACAACATTCTCGACCTGATGAGGCGGTAGTGAAGCAGTAGAAGTATTGCAACCTGTAATAACAGGAATAGGTCTAGGGCAAGTGTGGTATGAAGAATTTCCCTCTCACCCACGATAAGAGGTTCCATAGATGGTTGATTGGTTGTAATATTGCTTGCGAGAATAATGACGTCTTCAGGGGTATTCTTTTGATGATCAATATTGTCAAAAACTTGGAGTTGATCAAGAGGAGATAAAATCACAGTCTCTGGTGGAGCACTGTGCTTTTTTGGTTTGAAGTGTGAATGTAGATGGTGGAATTGAGAACTAGAGTTCCCGAATATACGACAGTTTGAACAATACGAACGAAAAAAGCTTAATCACTATCTATTGCCAATACTCATGATGCTGTGTGCTCAACCAAATTTTCTCAGAAGCAGATGAAGTGATGTCTCTTTCAATAAGTACTCTGGCTTCTGATACAACAACAACAACAACAACAACAAAGCCTTAATCCCACTACGTGGGGTCGGCTACATGAATCCTTTTTCTCCATTGCGTTCTATTTAGTGTAATATTTTCATTTAGTTCTAGTAAATTAAGATCATTTTTAATACAATAAGCCCAAGTCTTCCTAGGTCTACCTCTGCCTTTCCTAACACAAGTCGAATTTAAAACATCTACTCTCCTAATCGGATCATCTAATGGTCGACGTTTAATATGACCAAACCATCTAAGACGACTTTCTCTAATTTTGTCTGTCACAGGAGCTACACCAACCCTATCACGAATATATTCATTCCGCATTTTGTCTCTAAGTGTAAAGCCACTCATCCACCTAATCATTCTCATCTCGGCAACACTTAACTTATTATTATGCTTCTCTTTTAAAGGCCAACATTCAGCGCCATAGAGCATTGCAGGTCTCACCACCATCTTATAAAATTTTCCTTTCAGTCTTAGCGGTACTTTTCTATCACACAAAAGACCCGAAGCATTCCTCCACTTCAACCAACCAACTTGAATTCTACTATTAACATCCCCATCTATATCACCATCGCTTTGGACAACAGACCCAAGATATCTAAATCGTTCACACCTTTTAATAATTTGATCACCCAAAGTCACACTTCTGTCACTAGAGCTATTACTACTAAAATTACATTCCATGTATTCAGTTTTAGTTCTACTTAAACGAAGGCCTTTAGACTCCAATGTAGACCTCCATAATTCAAGTTTTTCCTGGGCTTTTTCTCTCGTTTTATCCACGAGAAGAATATCATCAGCAAAAAGCATAAACCAAGGTACATCCTCTTGTAGATGTCCAGTAAGACCATCCATAACTAAAGCAAAAAGATATGGGCTTAAAGTCGATCCCTGATGTAAACCAACAGAAATAGGAAAATATTTTGTCAATCCTCCTTCAATTTGAACACAAGTACAGCTCTAGTATACATATCCTTAATGACTTGAATATAAGTCATATCAAACATTTCTTCTCGAGAACTCTCCAAAGGATATCTCTTGGAACCTTATCGTAAGCTTTTTCTAAATCAATAAAAATCAAATGTAGATTCTCCTTATTATCTCTGAACTTCTCCATCAAACCTCTCAACAAATGTATAGCTTCCATAGTAGACCTGCCAGGCATAAATCCAAATTGATTATGAGAAATTTTCGTGATGCATCTTAACCTATGTTCAATTACCCTCTCCCATAATTTTAAAGTATGACACATCAACTTAATTCCTATA